ACTTCCTGAGTGGCTCCCATGCTGAACTAGGTCTACATGCTTAATATTCATATCAAACGAAGCTTTATGTGATTGAGCATGGCAGACCTTGAACAACTGCACTTTCCGATCAGTCACTATTTCTGCTGAGGGTATGTTCTGGACCGCAAATCTCAATCTGAAATCTTAAAATATAGTAAAAAAGAAATGCAACTTAAAAAAACAACAACTGGAAGGATGACAAGCACACAATTAGGAATTTATTTTACACTGGCACTTTTTTCTCTCAAGAGCCCAGTTTCTCTCTTCCCTTCTTGCTTGACTTTCAGCCTTTTTAACTTTTTGAAAATGATAGCTGTTAGCTATCTCAGTTAAAAATAACTTCAGTGTAACCCAGTCACTATCCCAGGCCCCTGCCTATGTCGGCTGTCAAGACCTGACCAATGTTTGTGTTCATCCTTCACATGTAAAACTATCTCCGGGGTGACCTGAAAGCATTTGGCTCCATTAAAGTTTCATGCTAATTTCATTTCAAAGGATTTTAGCAAGTTTGACTGTCACCATTTTATAGTCTGTTTTTTTTTTTAAGAAAACAATGTCAATCCCAGAAATTACATTTACCAAATCAATTAATTGTCTTTTCTATGCCCCCCCCTTCTGGTTCATTGGGTGGGGAAACAATTCACCAATAAACAATGAAATGTGAACAATCTATTCCAGAAAATGGCCCACATGTCACCACAAATTATTCTGAACCAAAAAGATGAAAAAACTGAATCCCAAACCAATGGCACATATACCTCAGGAATGTACTTGTGCACGAAGCCTGAAATACAGTATTTGCTACCATGAAATATGCTGTAGTGTTGCACACAGTAAACATGTGGAACAAGGACCATGTGGTTTACAAACATTTGCTGAGTTTTTTGGGGAAAAAGGAATGCATCATTTTCAACACTCGGAAAAGACAGCAAAGAAAGTCAATGCCTCCAATAAACTTTAGAGATTGGAACAAGTTATCACCAACTACAATTCAAGTGAAAGCATACAGCTATTTCCAGGTAACAAAACATCACTGCAAATATCTCGCAGATGCTAATATGTTGAATGACAGGCCACCGATGTAGGATTTGTTAAGCTATTTCACTGTGGTAGTTAGTTAAAACAGTTTCACCCATAGCCCTTTAGGCACACAGATAAGAAAGGCATCTCTAATAAAAGACGCAAAGTTACAGGCACTGAACTGTCTAATTTGGGTACTTTCTTATCATTTGCTCATTTTACAACTAATTCCTACAACTAATTCTTATACTGCCACAAGCTGGATTTATTTATCTGCTCTCCACCCCCAAATCCCCAAAGCTTATTTCAGAGATGCATGTGGCTCTCATCACTTAAACACAGATCAGTGGCAGATAGCCCCTCTCATCACTAATTCAGAGTTAACGCTGGGACAAAGAGGCAGGCTACATTAATAACCTGAAAGAATACTGAGAATCAAGGCAAAAAAAAAAAAAAAAAGCAAGTTTCACAGGCAGTGTTTACTTGTGCACCCCCAAACAGCACTGAAAACGAGGTAGATTAACAAAAGCAACTGGACTGGAATTAAACCTGGGGTTCTAAAATGATACATCCCATCATACTCTACACTCAAAACATTCTACACTCAATCTAAAAATCGCAGCGGAAAAGTGCCTTTTCAACTTCCACAGATAATTTTGCTGTCAAACCATTAGAATTCATGCTCGATATAAAACTGGTAAGAAGAGGATGAGAAACAGAATGGATATTGGTTATATTACAGCAAATTACCTTAAACAGAGAGTCAAGACTGCTACAAATATACATAGGGTAATTTTCATTAGATTTACACCAATACTGGTTTCATATTCTTAAGATGTTACACCCAACTTCACAAACATAGCAGCAGGTAATTCATGAAGAGATGCTCACATTAGCACATATGGAGGTACAGTACTATTCGTCAGACTTGCATTTTGAGAAGTAAACATGGTGGCTGGACATACAGACTACCCCCCAAAAAACCGTTACAAGCAGATGACATAATACAACCCTTTTCTCTCCCACAAGAAGGAAAATGAAAGGGACAGTTTGTTTTTGGGAAGTGGGAAGAAGGCCCTTGTTATACAGTAGGCTCTTGGTTAAGTAAGAAGGGAATTTCTGAGCTTTACCTCAAGAATTAATTATTTCTGGGCTGGAAAAGTACCTCAGCAAGGATGCAAACAGCACTATTATATGATTTAGCAAAAAGTTAGGAAATAATGCAAAATCCCTATATAGAAAACTAGCCAATATTTACAGTCAAAGTGACTAAAAGCTGAATCAAACATTTAAGTAATGGAAAAAATAAATAAAAACCCCACAGTGACGTGAATAACACTGTTTTCTTCATTTCCACACAAAGTCACTTTTTTTTGCATTTTTAAACTTACACACACGTTACATATACACAATGTATACATAACATATATGTTAACCCAACCACTGCAGTCAGCATGGACTCGGCAGTACACTATTCACCATCTTCAAACTTTAGAAGACTACTTTTCTTTCCAGCAAAAAATCTGAAAAGATTCTAAATACTACAAGGCACTGCAAAAGTCTGCAGGCAAACAAATGATGAATCAGACATAAAACAGAGGTGGTGGCAAAACGTGGGGCATGTGATATAGAGCAGCCATTAATAAATGTAATTGTGCATATTATCCATGGAGCTTTTTTCATCTTGGGGGTAGGTACACTGTTTAAAAGAATTGTGACTAGAGCCCTGGCTAGTGTGGCTCAGTTGGTTGGAGAGCTGTCCTGGACCCTGAAAGGTGGCAGGTTTGAGTCCCGGTCAGGGCACATACCCGGGTTCCATCTGCAGTCAGGGCGCATACAGGAGGCAGCCCATAGATGTCTGTCACTCTCCATCTCTCTTTCTCCCTTCCTCCCTCCAAAAATCAATTTTTAAAAAGAAAAAAAAAGGATTTTGACTAGAGAAGAAGAAGGGACCTTAAAACCTGCAGTATTTTCACTTTCTGGATCAGCGGTCACTAACTGGTGGTCCGCGAGGTCTGAAAGGTTGGCGACCACTGTTCTAAGTTATAAGCCTCAATGCAATCACACAAATCCAAATCATCTAATGAAACACGAGCAGTTTGAAAGAATTACAAATTTTAGGCACATTGTTTTTGTATACATGGTAAACACTGTAATGCAAGCATTTGCATTACACTACTGTCCTAAAATCACTTCAACTCGCAAAGCAATACTGTGTAAGGAATTCGAAGAATGATTTAGGAAGACTCATCCAAACTAGCATGTCATATGAAAAGAAACTTTGGCTCTTACCAACAGCAATTCTCAAAATGCTACCCTATATGCCCCAAATGATAGTGACAGAATCTTCACAATGGCGAGGGCAATCCTCAGGTAAGCAGTATAAGACATATATCTATTTAGAAAGGGCACTGAATGTCACAAAGTAAACGGTGCAAAAAAAAAAAAAAAGTACACCCATTAAGTTTGCTTCATTACCTGGCAGGCTCATGGACTAAAATTTGTAGTGGAATATGGAAGAAAATCTGTTAACAAAAATATTGGGTGATAATTTAGAATGTTTACCAGTAGACAGAACTTGTTCTTAAGGTAAATGTTCACTAGACACCACCTTGAAATTGTCAAGAGTGAAAAGTATTTTAAACATGTGTATGTGGCGGTCGGTAAATACCATTTACGAATTTTGACTCGGGTTTCACAGACTGAGTATTAGGTAACTCTGTGACCAGCCTTTTAAGATGATTATAGTTAACCTTCTTTGAAAACCAAAAGTGTATATTTTGACATTGCCTCCCCTCCTCCTTAAACTGGATAAAACCCAGTAAAGTGCAACTTGACAGTGACCTCTCGCAGATTCTAAAGAGGCTGCAAAAATAATCTAAGATCTAAAAACAAGAGGCTATAGATACTAACTAGAAATTATAACAACTGAAAAAAAGGCAATACAAAAAAGCTAAGGGCAATTAAATAGTATACTTCGAGGGTCTACTATTTCACTGCAGGACAGTGTATACCCCACATCTCTTAGAACCCTGTAAAGCCAGTGTTTCATGTGTAAGTCTTGAAACCTACAAAACCTACTGTGTCAAGTAAATTTCACTTCGGAAGAATGGGTCAATAGAGGTGTGACTTGAATCCTCTTTGTTAGGAATACAAAGATTCCCCCCAAATGAGATTCATATCAGCTGCAATATATCCCTTGCAAAAGAATGCAAGCCAAACCAATGCCTCTCAGATGCTCAAAAACAACGCAGTGTGCACATGAGAAACAAGGAGACAGCTGCTTTGAATTACTATGGAAATCCTAAAACAGCTACATTATCTGCAGAATCAAGGAACTGTTACAGTTCTGTTTTTATCCTTTCTTTCCGCCTCACCTAGAACAAGGCTTCACTCCTACAGCTGTGAAGACGGGAAGAAAATCACATTAAAAAGGGCTCGTGTTCTATATTAGTTGACAAAAGTTATTCTAATTTTATACACCAAAACATTTCCTGCAGCATTACCCTGCCTTCTGGGAGAGGTAAACCTAAGACAAACATGTGAAGAATCCCACAAGACTCCGGTTGTCGGAGGATCTCACTTTCTCCACGTTGGGGGAATATCAATTTAAACAGTTTTTATACATTTTAAAGAAAAGTATCATCCAGCTGCACTTGGCAGCAGTAAAAAATGGAGGCTTTTCAGCAATTCATGGTAAGTGTCCTGGAAATGGTAATGCTCAAGCCGAGCTCATTTAAAGCATTCTGAACAGTATTTTTAAAAAATCAAGTATCAAAGAGGATAGGATTTGAAGTGAAAAACATTTCTGTGCGCAGTGTTCTATGTACAAACTGCACAGTTCTACAGAATGACGAGCTATATCAAAGACTACATCGGAACCCAAAAAAATACAGTGGAAAGTAAACTCAAAAGAGGAAAAGATAGCAGAACCCAAGAAGAAGAAAGTTTAATATCTTAGGTGTCCCGGAAATAACTCTGAAGAAAAGCTCCCTTTTCTTCATTCGTCATTTACTCTGATTCATTTGGGACCCGGAGGGTTCGTGGATGGATTCTGCACTGAGGACGATGAAAACGCAGGCAAATTCATTCCTGGCTGGAACGGTGGCCCTGGTTGGGTAGGTATGACCACAGGCTGTTGAGCTGGTCCGGGAATTCCTACCCACTGTACTGGATAACCGGGCCCCCCCACAGCATTATACTGACAGACATGGGACACTCCATATGATGGTAATGGCCCAGGATACGAAGGGAGTGGGAGTCCTTGTGGTGAGGAGGTGGGAACAGCTCCACGGATTTGGGGCAGAGAAGAAATCCATGTTGGTGTGTAGCCCAGAGCAGATGGAGTATTCTAATGAAAACAAAAATAAAAACAAAAGATCAGTTTATTTGGCAGAAGCTTTTACCCATCTATGTTCCTTCCTATTCTTTTTGGCTTACTGCTCCCATGATTACTATGAGTGGCTACCATTTTTGCAGCACCTTCTGTGTGCTAAGCATAGTTACATACCTTGTCTATTTTATCTTCATAACTGCCCTGAAAGGTAGGCATTTTCAGATGTGGAAAAAGAAGCTCAAAATTGATAACAGCTGACACACTAAGCAAATTCATAGTGAGCTGAGGATTTGAACAATGTTCCAGCTAACTCTAAGGGCCCTGCTAAATCTCTGTTCACTTTAGTGTCTCCTGCCCTCATGCTAGCATTACTCTTCTATTTTTATTTCCTTCTGCCAGTCTCGGGCATTCCCTTATTCAGCACCACACACAATAGCCTATCTTACTGTATTACATAATTCTTTGAAGACAGGGGAGCATGATTTAGTATGGCATGGGGGAAAGAGCCTAGGATACAGTAGGTGCTCAATAAATGTCACCTCCCTACCCCCTTCTACTCACTGTCTTTAAATAAAGTCTGACATTTTTGTTACATTTTTGGAAATCTAAACTCAAGACAATTATGCTTTTGGCAATATTGAGGAAATATATTCCTGTCTGACTCTTCTTATATTGTATTATGATTAAGCATAGGTATAAAGATTACTGAAATCTTATGCACATGGGACTAATAAGTCTAATGGAAGTAAATAATTCTCACTCAAAGGCGAGATTGGTATCAGTTCCAAATGCTTAGTTCTTATAAAGTGAATGGTCAAGCTAAAACCATTTCAACTAAACTGAAAGTTTCAAGCTAAAGTTAGGGTAAAGGTTTTGAGCTTGACTCAAGAATGACAATATCGCTGAAACCGGTTTGGCTCAGTGGATAGAGCGTCGGCCTGCGGACTGAGAGGTCCCGGGTTCGATTCCGGTCAAGGGCATGTACCTGGGTTGCGGGCACATCCCCGGTGGAGGATGTGCAAGGGGCAGCTGATCGATGTTTCTCTCTCATCGATGTTTCTAACTCGCTCTATCTCTCTCCCTTCCTCTCTGTGAAAAATCAATAAAATATATTAAAAAAAAAAAAAAAGAATGTCTTTATAAAAAAAAAAAAAAAAAAAGAATGACAATATCTCTTGAGGTGAAAAAACCCCCACACATTTGCTTAAGTTTCAGCAATCCCTTTTCATATCAGTGTTTTTGTTCTGTTAAAGTAAAACTGAATTTAACACTTCTGATTCAAATGAGCACATACAGTATGATTGCACTTTTTATACATATACTTGAGGCCCAGTGCACAAAATTTGTGCACTGGTAGGGTCTCTAGCGGCTGCAGGCTGGGGCCTCCTTTCCTTCCCCTGGTCGGCCCTGCCCCCTGGTCAAATTCCCGGACAACTTCAGGTTGAGGGGACAATTTGCATACTATGCTTTTATTATGTAGGATTTCCATGTATCCATATACAGACATAGAAAGATACCTAAAATGGTGTTTATCTAAAGCTAGTGACAATTATATCTGGGTGGTGGGATTTGAAGGCAGTATTTTAAATTTTGTACTTTTCCGCATTGATTAAACTCTATAACAAGCATTTTATAAACAATAATGTGACTTTTATTTTTAAAAGACTGAATTGGATATTTCAAAAGTATCTCAGGCCCTGGCCGGTGTTGCTCAATGGTTAGTGTTGACCTGCGCACCAAAGGGTCGCAGGTTGGATTCCTGATCAAGGGCACATAACTGGGTTGTAGGTTTGATCCCTGGCCCCAGTTGGGGCACATGCGGAGGCAATTGATGGATATGTCTCTCTCACATCAATGTTTCTCTCTTCCCCATCCCTTCCACTCTCTAAATATCAAACACACTCAGGCATGTGCCCTGACTAGGACCCCTATGTGTACAGGATGACTCTCAACCAATTGAGCCACACCAGCCAGGGTTTTAATTCTTATAAATAAAGAGAATTGGGTATAAACAACTTACTTCATGTACTTTGTTCCAGTTGTCAGTCTCTAATTTGTGTTGACTCTGTTTAAGTTGGTTTAAACTTGGCTTAATAAGAGAATTTCCAACTGTTTCCTTTGTCCAGTCATCTACCAATTTGTGTAAGTCATCTGTGAACATCCCTTTTTTACTAGCTGGAGATTGCTGGCTTGATGCTGTATTACTCTCCGCACACGGTAGATCTATAAGGAAAACCAGGGAAACCATGAAAAGGAATTAAAAATGATAAATACTCTTATTTGGACACTAATGCAATTGACAGAGTAAGCAGACATTTCAGTTTAGCTGGGGCAGTTCTGGTTTAAAGCTATTGTCCTGAAGTAATTACTAACAATACTCCTTTCATTCTCAAACATTTCCTCTTGTCTGGATTGCAAATTATATGTTCACCTTAGGTATAAATCAAGTACAATAAATAGTAATGTTGCTTAAAAAATTAGCATCAACCCTAATCTTTTCATCAGTTTCCTCAGATAGATACTTAGAAGAGTTAAAAAAACAATCACAGAACGTCAAAAGTAGAAAGAATCTTAGAAGTCTAATCTAAACCAGTAGTTTTATAATGGGGAGAAGAGGCCCAGAAAAATTAATTGACATGCCTGGGTTAACGCAATTAGTTACCATAGAGCCAGGCCTGGAAATATGAAGCTGAGACAGGAACTCTCTTTTCAGTATACCAGCTAGGGCGAAAATCTCCCTATTTTAAAGTTCGTTGAGCCCTGGCTTGTTTGGCTCAGTAGATAGAGCATTGGCCTGCAAACTGAAGGGTCCTAGGTTCGATTCTGGTCAAGGGCATGTACTTCAGTTGCAGGCTTGTTCCCATGCTACCACGTGCAGGAGGCAACTAATCAATGTGCCTCTTTCACATCGATGTTTCTCTCTCTCTCTCTCTGTCGCTCCCCCTCCCTTCCACTTTCTCTGAAAACCTATGGAAAAATATACTTGGGTGAGGATTAACAAAAAATAAATAAAATCCATTGATTAACACCCTTCATTCCATCTACAACCTCAATTCCACTTTGCCATATAAATTAACATAGTCACAGGTTCCAGGGATTTACACACAGATGTCTTGGGGTGGGGGGTGACCATCATTCCATCTACCACAAATTCTATTGAAATCTCACATACATCCTTAACGTACACCTTCAACTTTCACCTTGACTTTGCACATATAACCAAGGAAGTCTGACTTAACTAACAACTTCTTTATTAGTTAAATAGAGACTGATCCTTAAAAAAAAAAGTACACCCCTAGCTGGTTTTGCTCAGTGGTTAGAGTGTTGGCCCTCCAACTGAAGGGTCATGGGTTTGATTCTGGTCAAGGGTACATACCTCGGTTGCCGGCTCCATCCCCAGCCCTGGTCTGGGAGGGTGCTAGAGGCAACCAATCCGTGTGTCTCTCATGTTCATGTTCCGATGTTTCTCTCTCCCTTTCTTCTATGCTCTCTAAAAATCAATGGAAAAAATATCAAGTGAGGCTTAACAAAAAAAAAGTACATTCTCTAATATTCTCATAAATAATAAAGATCTTGTATCAGGATAGAACATGACTATAATTTTAAGATTATCTTTGTTGGCAACACACAACAAACTCTAAATGTTAGACCAGCAGTTCCCATTAATTGCTAAAATTTCAAAAAGTACTTGGGGACTGAAATTGGGCCTTCAGGTATTTGTTTTCCAAATAAAAACATGAAATACATGAATCTGCTCTCCAAAATCTCTCATCTATCCTCATCATTATTTCATAAAAGAACATTTAACACCAAAAAAAGTAGAAAAGAATCTCAGATTGTGCACATCTTCATCTTAGCTTAATAAAAAATACATGATGGTTATTTTTCTCATTTTGCTGATCTTTGACCAGTTTTTTTAAAAACCATTTTTTAAAATCGATTTACCTGTAGCTGCTGAATCACTGTCCACCTGTGTCAAGGACTGGGGGCGGCTTCGAAGTTTGCTTCTTAAAGATCTTGGTCGACGCGGTGGGGTTGCGGATGGCAGAGAAACCACAGATGACTGAAGTTTGCTATCTTTAATTGCCTGGAGGCGATCATAGAGCTCCTGAAGCTCCTTATTCTGCTGGGTTTGAAGATTTATTACCTCCTGAATATGTCTACATAAAAATGAGGCAGAAAGCGTTTTAATGGTGCTGGTTCCATACAGATCAGCTAAAAAAATGCCACACCAGTACAAGTAAAGTTTAACAAGGAATTTAGATGAAGAATGTGGATATACAGAATGTTTTCACAATTTTAAAATGGGAAATGTCTTTTTTTAAAAAAAATAATTTTATTGATTTTTTACAGAGAGGAAGGGTGAGGGATAGAGAGTTAGAAACATCGATGAGAGAGAAGCATCGATCAGCTGCCTCCTGTACACCCCCTACTACTGGGGATGTGTCCGCAACCAAGGTACATGCCCTTGACCGGAATCGAACCTGGGACCCTTCAGTCCCCAGGCCGACACTCTATCCAGTGAGCCAAACCAACTAGGGCAGGGAAATGTCTTCTTAAGCATACCATTAAACTAATCAGACATAAAGAAGAAAGGTCAACAAACTGACAGGAATAAATTTCTAAAACTTCAATATAGTGAAAAACAGCAAAAGAAAATTTAAAATCACAGAGCACTGATAATATCAATTTTTTCTTTATTATATGATGCAGGTGTAAACAAGAAAAAAAGTATCTGCATTATATAGAAAAGGTTAATATTTAGAATATGTAAATAATTCCTAAAAATCAGTAAGAAAAAAAGAAACTATCTTTTAGAAAAGAGGGAAAGAATATGAAAAGGTGACTCGAAAGAAAAATAGAAATGACAAATAAATGAGATGATGCACAACCTCACTTTTAGTTAATACAATTTTTAAAAAATGAATTCATCTGATTGGAATAAAACTAAAAGGATCAACAATATCCAGCCCAATGTTGTTAAGAAGTGGGAAAATAGGCACTTTCATATGTTTTTGTTTGGTGTGCAAAATGGTATAGCTACATTTGATAACAATAGCAATATCTATGAATTTAAAATGTACATATCTTTTAACACAGCAATTCTACTTTTACGTATTGATCCTACAAAAATACTTGCATAACTGTATAAAAAATAAGGATGTTCACTTCAAGCGAAACATGGGATAAAACTGAAATGTCCATTAAGGAGAGATTAAATAAACTTTCAATGGTGATAAGCTATTTCAGTGTATGGAATAAAGATTATTTGTGCAAACATGAATATACATAGGTGACAAAGTTAAGTAAAAAATTGCAGCATAACGTGTATTATGATAACACTTTTGTCAAAAGCAAAAACTATGTATTTGTAAATGAAACAGGTCACAGTGGTTGAGAAGTTATATTAGGGCGTGAGAAATAGGAGATGGATTTTTGTAATTTCCGAAGTGATAAGAGCAATGGGAGAATCGTTTGTTATATTATTTGGTCTTGTGTCTTCAAATAGCTCCAGTTCCTTAAATAGCTCCAGAGTAAGAAAGATGAAAGGAGTGTCTTGTTATTCATAATGAGAAACGATGCACAACCTCACACTGGTGTCTAGGTCAATCAAGTGACTTCTGTAAAAATCCTAAGGGAACCAGGCAAGTGATTATAGGATGAGAATTTTCAGCTCTCCTCCGCCCTCCACCTCTGGTGAGGGGTGCGGCTGGAGATTAAATTAATCACCTATGGTCAATGATTTATTCAGTCACATCTATCTAGATGAAGATCCCATAAAAATTCCTGTATTACAAGGTTCGGAGAGTGGCACTCACGAGAGCGCATGGAAGTTCCATGTTCCTACCCCCATACCTTGCCATTTGGCTGTTCTTGAGTTGCATCCTTTGGTGGGAACCTCCAATTTATAACAGGCTAGTTAGAAGCATAGGTAATACCACCTGGACTTGTGATTGGCATCTGGGGCGGGGGGAGGGGGGAGTCTTGTAGGACTGAGTTCATAACTAGTGGGATCTGATGCTGTCTTTGTAGTTTTCAATCATAAAAAGTTTTCAATCATTACAAGGTCACCAGTCCTGACCAGCCGGCATGGCTCACTGGTTGAGCGTCGACCTATGAACCAGGAATTCACGGTTCAATTCCTAGTCAGGGCACATGCCCGGATTGTGGGCTCAGTCCCCAGTGTGGGGCGTGCAGGAGGCAGCAGATCAATGTCCCACTCTCACATCGATGTCTTTCTCTCTCTCCCCGCACCCTTTCCTTTCTGAAATCAATAAAAATAAATATATTTTAAAATGCCACCAGTCCTAAATTAGTTAGCAACCTAACAGTTCTATAAAACCCAGGGCACCCCTAGCTGGTTTGGCTCAGTTGGTACAGTGTCAGCCTGCAGATTCAAAGGTCCCGGGTTCGATTTCAGTCAGGGGCACATGCCTGGGTTACGGGCTCAATCCCCAGTAGGAGGCGTGCAGGAGGCAGCTGATCTATGATTCTCTCATCATTGATGTTTCTATCTCTCTCTCTCCCGCTCCCTTCCTCTCTGAAATCAATAAAAATACATTAAAACAAACAAACAAACAAACAAAAACAAACCAAACCCAGGGCAACTAGCTAGGTGACAAAAGAGAAACAGTTCTTACTTTTCTCGTAATTTTTGAAGCTCCACCTTCAAGTCCTCATCCTCTATTTCGGATTCATCATCACTGCTCATTGGTGAAGATGGTGAATAGAAGAGTGAGTTCTCTGTCTGAGCACAGGCTTTTTCTTCTTGGAGTGGTAAGCACTGATCGCTCTCTGGATGACTGTCTGCCACCGAGTTCCCTGTGTCAGTAAGAGTGGCTGAAAACTCACCATCAGAGCAAAGCTGTTTCTCAACAGTAAGTATCTCTCCCCCTGTGAGCAGCAGTTCAGAGCCAGACTGCATGCTATTTCCTGTAGCTGAGTTTTCTTCCAATTCCTTTTCCGGGGTTATAGAAGATCCATCAGTCTCACCAGCTGTGCTGAAAGATGAGCTGTCTCCTGGTTTAGGAATTGGTTTAACTTCCGGAAAGGTTTCATGAAGAGCTTCTAGGTTCTGAGGAGAAAATACAGTCTCTGGACTGTGCATGGCAGGTTCTATTTCTACTACCTGAGCCTTTGCTGTTTCAGTGAAGGCTGGAGCTTCTTCACTAGAATGGCTTGGCATGTCATTGAAGGCTGACCCGTGTTGTATTCCAGTGCATGTCACTTTCTCAGACTGCTGCTGAGGGATTGTAATCACCTGAGATACAAAAAGGCAAAAGTGGCTGGCTCCGCCTAACTAAAGAGCAAACCCACAAAGAAATCCAGGATCAACATGTGGCACAGACAAGTGGCTGTTCTACTTGTGATGTACATATATTGATAATAACAAAGCTTTAAGATCCCATGCATCTCCCCACATGGCAAGTCTTTCTTTTTAATTTTGTTATTTGTTGATTTTAAAGAGACAAAGGGGGGGGGGGAGAGGGATGGACGGAGAGAGGGGTGAGGGAGGGAGAGAGAGAGAAACATGTTTCACTTATTCATGCATTCACTGGTTGATTCTTGTATGTGCTCTGACAGATTTACCCTACAACCTTGGCGTATGGGGACGAGGCTCTAACCAACTGAGCTACCCCACCAAAGCTTCAAAGACTTTCAAATGGTCCCCTTGGGTAAAGAACCTTGGCATTGATTGCTCAAATAAAATTCCACAATTTTAAAAAGTCCATAATTAAAGATGCCAAGATTCGCCCTAGCTGGTTTGGCTCAGTGGATAGAGAGTCTGCCTGTGGACTGAAGGGTCCCAGGTTCAATTCCGGTCAAGGGCACATGTCTGGGTTGTGGGCTCGATCCCCGTAGGGGGCATGCAGGAGGCAGCCAATAAATAGTTCTTTCTCATCATTGATGTTTCTATCTCTCTCTCCCTCTCCCTTCCTCTCTGAAAATCAATAAAAATATAAAAAAAAAAATAAAGATGCCAAGATTCTAAAAGACATGAAATGGGAATTATAAAAACAGGTGACCCAACCTCCCACCACAAAATAATGAACCCTTTCTGTGTTCTCTTCCAGCTACTAAAATCCATTTCTTTTTTTTTAAAGGATGCCATTCATTCATTCATTCATTTTCCATCACTATTTATCCCCCTATATAAATCCCCATTTCTTTAGACAACTTTACTGGATGGCTTCAAAAGATTAAGGGATGCAAATTAAATATGACAATGATCTATACCAGCGGTTCTCAACCTGTGGGTCGAGACCCCTTTGGGGGGTCGAACGACCCTTTCACAGGGGTCGCCTAAGACCATCGGAAAACACATATATAATTACATATTGTTTTTGCGATTAATCACTATGCTTTAATTATGTTCAATTTGTAGCAATGAAAATACATCCTGCATATCAGATATTTACATTACGATTCATAACAGTAGCAAAATTACAGTTATGAAGTAGCAACGAAAATAATTTTATGGTTGGGGGTCACCACAACATGAGGGACTGTATTAAAGGGTTGCGGCATTAGGAAGGTTGAGAACCACTGATCTACACTGTCTTCAATGCTGTTGCCTGTTATAATGCACTGTAGATAAGGATTTAATGAAAAGCACAAACCTGGAACCGGCCCCGCTGAAAGGATCCACTCATCGATTTGCATCTACTCAAAGGCCTACTATTAGCTGTGGACTCTACTGCCAGAGAAATGGGATCAGGAGCAACTGTGGATATCACATCATCTGTTTCCACTGTAAGTTTCGCCAAATTGTAAAGAGAAAAGAGAAAATTGGGTAAGACTAAATTTGTTTACATTACCAAAAAATGAAGAAAAGCAGAAAAAGCTTAACTCCGGCTAGACAATTAAAAAGTGTTACCCTAACTCTCAACCAGACATTGCAAGATTTATCCCGACTTAGTATCTATATGAAATGAAAAACTACAAAATCAAATTTCTTGCAGAAGGAAAAATAAAGTGGCAATGACATTAATGGGATGTGTCACATACATGGGCTACGTGGAAAAAGTGGCAACACTTGTGTATGAAGAAAAAAACCAAAAACCAAACAGAAGTAAATGAAAAGTGATGTTACCTAGTCTAGGTCCCTGACTGTAAGCACACTACCTTGACGGACTTTTGATCTCTTGAAAAAGCTGGTTGACTGCCGTAGCCTGTATGCCCAGCTTTTTAATTTGCGAGTCCAGGATTTCTTGCTAATAGGATTTTTGAGACTAGGACAAGTAAAGCTTAGGCCAAAATATCCACCTCCTGTGTGCAGACGAGTGGCTCCACCGCTTGGCACAGCAGCAGGATGGGCCTCTGGATCCCCTGGAAGTGAGGCATCTGGGGACATCTCCTAATGGAGACAAAAAGACAAAAATCAAAATGGTAATAATTTAGATAAGGTGTAGCAGTTGGTTATACCATTGCAGTTTCAGTAATCAAAAATAGAATGCCATGTATACTTGCATTAATAGTACCATTTCAGACAGAACCTGAAGTATTCAAGTTATGGAATGAAGCCTTCCCTTTTCTTTAAAAATATTATTTAGACATCAGGCCCTGGCAGAGCTCAGTTGGTTAGAGTGTCATCCCCATCCAACCAAGGCTGTGGGTTCAATGCCAGGTCATGGCATATATAAAAATCAACCAGTGAATGCATAAATAAGTGGAAAAAATGGCTGTCTCTCCCTCTCTCCCTCCCCCTCCCTTTTTCATTCTAAAATCAGTAAATAAAAAATATATATTATTTAGACAAGAACAGAATATGAATCTTCTACCCTAGAATATTTTTCCTTATAGCAACTTTGAAAAATTAAAATTATTTCCTTCATATGCACTAATTTACTAAAAAAGGTTACTGAAACCCTATACTCTTTTTCTTTTTAAGTTTTTTAAAATGTTTTTTAAATTGATTTCAGAGAGGAAGGGAGAGGGAGAGAGAGCGCAGAAACGTCAATAATGAGAGAAAACCATCAATTGGCTGCCTCTTGCATGTCCCCTACTGGGGATCAAGCCCACAATCCAGGCATGTGCCCTGACCAGGAAATTAACTGTGACCTCCTGGTTCATAGGTTGATGCTCAACCAGTGAGCCACGCTGGCTGTGCAAAACCCTATATTCTTAAACTGAACATTTTTATTTATGTTTGTTATCTAGACATGTAGATTTACAGGAAAATATTACCAAATCAAATTTCTTACTTTATGTAAGCACACAGAAATTTACAATGGATCTCAAAATTATTTCAAATTCATGCTCTAAAAACTGTTAACATCAGGCCACGCGTGGCTGGCAATGAAATCACTCTTCCCTCTTCTTGACCTCCTATCCCTCTCCTAAAAAAGCCAGAATTAACTGTTGTATTCTAAATAAGCACTTAAAAATAAGTTTTCTACAATAATTAACACAAAAATTAATATACACAATCAAAAATACTTTCGGAAACATGAGAATGGTCACTACTAATCTAGAAAGTTAAAAGAGTATTTAAAAGCTCAAGGAATGGAATTTAACATTTGTCTGAAGGAAGACAGCCTAAGTGGCACTAAGTATATTGCAGTCCTGGGTAACAATTAAAACTTGGGGCAGGTTAGCAGTTATTGAAAATAAAATTCTAAACAATCAGTTTTAATTTTCCAAAATCCCATTTGGAATGGTAATAATACTACCTTCATGAAGAGGAAAAATAGCCCTAGCTGGTTTGGCTCAGTGGATAGAGCAGGGGTCCTCAAACTACGGCCCGCAGGCCACATGCGGCCCGCCGAAAACATTTATCCGGCCCGCCGGGCGTTTTTGCCACCGCTGCCTGTCCTGCTTAGCAGCCGACTCGTCCCGGGCCCGCAGTGCGCATGTGTGGAATGTCTGAGGGATAGTGAACTGGCCCCACGTTTAAAAAGTTTGAGGACCTCTGGGATAGAGCATTGGCCTGCAGACTGAAGGGTCCTGGTTGGAGTCCCGGTCAGAGCACATGTCCGGGTTGTGGGCTCAATCCCCAGTATGGGGCGTGTAGGAGGCAACCAATCAAGGATTCTCTCTCATCACTGATGTTTCTATCTTTCTCTCCCTCTCCCTTCCTCTCTGAAATCAATAAAAATAGATTTTTAAAAAAGAGGAAAATATTCTCAATAATATTATAATGTAGAAAGTGTTGCATTGGTCCCACTGAAATTACAGACAAGACTTTTCATAAGTAATAACTGGATCAATGTGGTAAATCATATACAAGTTCTAGCCTCCTTTACCAATCCAAATTCACAGACACGACAGGAAAAACAGATGTAGACATATGCATATATAATTAAAGAAAGAAAAGGCAGCCCATGACATATGCAGGAACTGTTACAAAATGTTGCAAATTTGAGTGGCGGATATGGGCAGTGGGAGAGAGTCCTGGCGGACCAAGATAATTAGTGGTTGGCTAGAACACTTATAAAGTTCCACACGATCTGTCTTCTCTTTGTCTCTTCAACATCATATCATAACACCCTCCTACATGCTGGCCTTCTTTTGGTTCCTGGCACAGGTCTCCATCTGTGAATGTCACCGCCAAATACAAGTCCTTCCTTGACCACCCTACATAAAGTCATCCCGAGTCTTGCTATCACAGCCCTTTACTTAATTATTTATCTTTTTAGGGTCTATCTTCCCCCACTGGAATGTGAACAGCACAAAAACAGAGATCTTGACTTATTCAATGCTCACTGAGTGGAAGAGTAAACTGCTTGGGGTAGCAAAAAAGGAACAGCCAGGCAGTCTGGTCCTTCTCCCTCCACCTCCACAGCAAGCAAAAGACAGCGGGAGACATCTGCTCCCAAATTAAGAGTGGGAAGAGAAAATGTGTGTGGCCAAGAGAAAGGTCAGCAATGTAGGGAGGAGACAACATCCAGGAAAAAGGGGAAGCTTGTTTACTGGGCCACCCTCTAGGCCAGCGGGCGCCAACCTTTCGCAGAAATCGACCCGAACCAATATGCTCAATTAATATTTGACAAAGGAGGCAAGAACATACAATGGAGTCAAGACAGTCTCTTCAATAAATGGTGTTGGGAAAATTGGACAGATACATGCAAAAAAATGAAACTAGACCACCAACTTACACCATACACAAAAATAAACTAAAAATGGAAAAAGGACTTAAATGTAAGACGGGAAACCATAAAAATACTAGAGGAATCCAAAGGCAACAAAATCTCAGACATATGCCAAAGCAATTTCTTCACCGATATATCTCCTAGGGCATTGGAAACTAAAGAGAAAATAAACAAATGGGACTACATCAAAATAAAAAGCTTCTGCACAGCAAAAGAAAATATCAACAAAACAACAAGAAAGCCCACTGCATGGGAGAACATATTTGCCAATGTTATCACCAATAAGGGTTTAATCTCCAACATTTATAGGGAACTCATGCAACTTAACAAAAGGAAGATAAACAATCCAATCAAAAAATGGGCAAAGGACCTAAATAGACACTTTTCAAAAGAGGACATTCAGAAAGCCAAGAGACATATGAAAACATGCTCAAAGTCACTAATCATCTGAGAAATGAAAATCAAAACAACAATGAGGTACCATCTCACACCTGTCAGAATGGCTATCATCAACAAATCAACAAACGACAAGTGCTGGAGAGGATGTGGAGAAAAGGGAACACTCGTACACTGCTGGTGGGAATGCAGACTGGTGCAGCCACTATGGAAGACAGTATGGAGTTTCCTCAAAAAGTTAAAAATGGAACTCCCATTTGACCCAGTGATCCACTGCTAGGAATATATCCCAAGAAACCAGAAACACCAATCAGAAAGGATATATGCACCCCTATGTTCATAGCAGCACAATTCACTATAGCTAAGATCTGGAAACAGCCTAAGTGCCCATCAGCAGATGAATGGATTAGAAAACTGTGGTACATCTACACGATGGAATACTACGCTGCTGTAAAAAAGAAGGAACTCTTACCATTTGCAACGGCATGGATGGAACTGGAGAGCATTATGCTAAGTGAAACAAGCCAGTCAATGAAGGAAAAATACCACATGATCTCACTCATTTATGGATAATAAAGACCAGTATAAACTGATGAGCAAAAATAGATACAGAGGCAGAGCAGCATCGAACAGACTGTCAAACTACAGCGGGAAGGTTGGGGAGGGTTGGGGGGTGGGAGAGAGGGGATAAGAGATCAACTGAAGGACTTGTATGCCTGCATATAAGCATAACCAATGGACACAAGACACTGGGGGGTAGGGGAGGCCGGGGGAATGTGAAGGGGAGAAAAAAAAAGGAGACCTATGTAATACTCTTTGTAATACTTTAAGCAATTAAAAAAAAAAAGAACCATTAAATAAATAAATAAATAAAAACAAAAAATAGCTGAATAGGACATTGAAAACAGCCTAAAAATTGAGAAATTATCCCAGTACAGAAAACAAAGGGACAGAGATAAAAGTGTGAAATGAAAAGTTAATAAATAAGAAAAACAGGAAATGAAATAAAACTCTCTATTTACAGATGATATGATCTGATATACTATATAGAAAATCCTAAATAATACACCCAAAGCTGTTAGAGCTAATAAACTCAGCAAACTTGTAGAATACAACACCCCCCAAAAAATCAGTTGTATTTCTACACATTAGCAATAAAAAAATCTGAAAAGAAAATTAAGAAAACAATTCCATTTGTAATAACAACAAAGAATGAGAAGTGGTGCTGGAACAACTGGATGTCCACATACAAAATATTGAAGCTGGACCCTTCTCTAATACAATGTACAAAAATTAACTCAAAATGATCCTATCATATATAATTAATCAAGTGTGAAGTAAAATAAAGACATATTTGGACATTAAAAAATTACTATTCCAACATGGTATTGTTTTCTTTGAAAAACGTGTTTCAGATATTCTAAAGTTCAGCCATTTAAACTATACAGTTTAGTGGGTTTTTAAAAACTGAATTTACTGTGCACCCATCACACACACACATACTAATCTCTCATGCAACATATTTTAAAATATCAGTCATAGAAACATTTCAGGAGGGAGGAATTTTAGGACACCAGAAACAATGACAGGTAAGTTTGATCAAGATGCAGCAATGGACACTTAAAGGAAGCAAAAGAATCCATTTGACAGTAACACTTGGAAGAAGTCTCCTTCAAATAACAAAGTGTAAATGACAGAGAATTATATTTCATTTTTTTATAGTTCTAATTACATTCTATGATCATTAGATAACATTTATAATATAAATGCTGTTTATTGATTTCCAATTCTTTAAATCAAACTGTAGACAAAGTACAACCAATAGTTACAGAAAATATATAGATGCTAAACTTCACCAAAATTAAAAAGTAATATAATAAAAATTGGAAGATGTGCAAGTGGAGGAAAGAAAAAGTATAATTTCCTCACCCTTCATAGCAGTGAGCCAATAGGTATTGTCTGAAATTACTAAGTCAAAAAATAAATAAGTATATTATTTACTAGTTATTAATGGCAATGAGCACAAGAATTAAAACAGACACTTAGGTCCTAGCCAGTTTGGCTCAGTGGATAGAGCGTCAGCCTGTGGACTGGGATTCCAGTCAAGGGCACATGCCCATGTTGTAGGCTCGATCCCCAGTAGGGGGCATGCAGGAGGCAGCCGATCAATGGTTCACTCTCATCATTGATGTTTCTATCTCTCTTCCTCTCCTTTCCTCTCTGAAATACATAAAAATATATTAAAAACAAACAAACAAACAAATAAAACAGGATCTTAGAACGGCTGGTGTGGCTCAGTTTTTGAGCATCAGCCTATGAATCAGGAGGTCAGGGTTCGATTCCCAGGAAGGGCACGTACCCGGGTTGCGGGCCCGATCCCCAGTGTGTGTGTGGGGCGTACAGGAGGCAGCCCATAGATGGCTTTCTCTCATCACTGATGTTTCTAACTCTCTCTCCCTTTCCCTTCCTCTTTGAAATCAATAAAAATATATTAAAAAACAAAACAAAACAAAACCCCCAAATCAGGAACTTAACTATGTTGGGAGTGCAATGGGGGGTGGGGGGGTGTTAACAAAACAATTACTTTAAATTTTCTATTCTTCTGAATTGCTTTCATGTTTATGTATCAATTGAATAATTTAAAAGTACTATTTACCAAAAAATAAATATTTAAATTATATCTATTCAATAAAATATTTTACTGTTGTTCTAAAAATTTAAGTGAGGTGGAACTATGTGTACTGACATGAATAGTACAAAATAAGTGGGAAAAAATGCAATCCACCTGGCCGGTGTGGCTCAGTGGTTGAGCATCGACTGATGAATCAGGAAGTCATAGTTTGATTCCCGGTCAGGACACATGCCTGGGTTGCAGGCTCAATCCCCAGTGTGGGGCATGTATGAGGCAGCCAATCAATGATTCTCTCTCATGACTGATGTTTCTATCTCTCTCTCCCTTATTCTCTGAAATCAATAAAAATATATTGTTAAAAAATGCAAACCAGTCCACCTATGTAAAGAAGTATATGTAGCCCTGGCTGGTATGACTTCAACTGATTGAGGGTCACCCTATACAACAAAAGGCCACCAGTTTGATTCTAGGTCAGGACACAAGCCTGGGTTTCGGGCTTGGTCCCTAGTAGCGAGTGCAGGAGGCAGCCGATCCATGTTTCTCTCTCTCTCTCTCATCAATAAAAACATTAAAAAAAGAAGCGTCTATATATATAAAAGCCTAAGCGACTGTTCAACCGGCCAGTAGCTATGATGCGCAATGACCACCAGGGGGCAGACGCTCAATGCACAGGCATGGAAACATGGAACAGACTGATGAATCTCAGAGGGAAGAGGGGAGGGAGGGGGGTGGGAAGAGATTAACCAAAGATCTTATATGCATACTAGAGGCCTGGTGCACGGATTTGTACACCAGTGGGGTCCCTCGGCCTGGCCTGTGGGGATCAGGCTGAAACCGGCTCTCTGACATCCCCTAAGGCAGTGGTTCTCAACCTGTGGGTCGCGACCCCTTTGGGGGTCAAACAACCCTTTCACAGGGGTTGCCTAAGACCATTGGAAAACACATGTATAATTACATATTGTTTTTGTGATTAATCACTACGCTTTAATTATGTTCAACTTGTAGCAATGAAATTGGGGGTCACCACAACATGAGGAACTGTATTAAAGGGTCGCGGCATTTGGAAGGTTGAGAACCACTGCCCTAAGTGGTCCTAGATTGTGAGAGGGTGCAGGCCAGGCCGAGGGACCCCACCAGTGTACAAATCCGTGCACCAGACCTCTAGTATGTAAATAAATATATAATATGTATCCATGCCTTGTAAATATATAGCACATATAAAGAAATATATCTAGATAAATATGTTTATGTCAGTTAAAACCATGTCTGGAAAGATTTATTAACAGCTATGTCTATAGGTTTGGAAGTGGGATGGATTTTACCCTATATACAGGCAGTCCTCAGGTTACGTCGGACTCGACATACGTTGTTTCGTGGTTACATCACCATCTCCCATTTATTAAAAAAATGTTCTGTCATTTTGACATATGTACATATGTGCTTTATGTTTATTTTATTTTTAAAATATATTTTATTGATTTTTTACAGAGAGGAAGGGAGAGGGATAGAGAGTTAGAAACATCAATGAGAGAGAAACATCGATCAGCTGCCTCCTGCACACCCCCTACTGGGAATGTGCCCAGAACCAAGGTACATGCCCATGTCCAGAATCGAACCTGGGACCCTTCAGTCTGCAGGCCGATGCTCTATCCACTGAGCCAAACTGGTTAGGGCTGCTTTATGTTGTTTATTATTTATTTACCACAAGTAAAGGTCAGGAATTGTTATCTTTCTTTTAAATTTTTTTTACTGTTTCACTTCATTACTGCTATGTATGTGCTCCATGTGAGTGACGTAGGTGCTTATATAGGTGGGTTCCGACTTATGGCGAAAATCAACATTACGTCATGCTGTAGGAACGGATCTCTGATGTAATCGGAGGACCTACTGTATACACAAATACTACTTAATATAATAATAACAATAATAGAGATACAGTGGTAAAGATTTAGAAAGGTGACTATAATATACTATAAATTGAAAAAATAAAGTTGCAGATCAATATGTATATAGCACAATCCTATTTTTGTGAATGAAAAATTGCAGTTATGTAAATAGATCTGTTTAAGCTCAAGTCAAGAAGGGTTAAGTACCCAAAGAACTTTCCCATGGATACAGACAATAGGGTGGTGAAGGCCTGGGGCAGTGGGGTGGGTGTTGCGTGGGAAGGAGTCAATGGGGGGGGGGGG